TAAAAATTCTTCATTCCTCTGAGGTACATTTTTCACTCTTGAAATTCCTTGCTAAAGAATTAAAAATTAAGAAAGATTCTTGATAATTGAAACAAAATGACATATTTGCCCTTCTCACTTACTTTTTTTTATTCCCATCCTTTTCCCATTCCAATGGTCTTTAGCTCTTTGATCTTGCTTAATCCTTTAATTTCTTCCCTTTTGATTCTTTGGGTCTTTCACGCGCGGCTTATTCTTATGTGAGCTAATATCTTTCATTTTTTCATGTTACATCTTGATTATTAATTTCAATAATTTCTTAAAATAAAATTGAATTTGTAGTAGTATCCATTGATTTTAATGTATCTACCGTTATATCTATTAAATTGAAATCTCGATATCAATATTTTCATAGTTGATATCGACGTCGTTTTGATTCAAGAGCTTTATGATCGTAGCTTTTGAGGGTCGGTTATTTGAGGGTTATTTCATTACGAGGTTCAACATCTATATGAATAATTAATAAACGTCTTCAATATTTTGTATAAATACCCAAAACACATTAATAAGTATCATCTAGTACTGATATCTATATGAATATAAATACTAATAACAAAACCTACTTAGTATATTAAGAATTAATACGTTGATATCAATGTATCTACCCTTATATCTATTAAATTGGAATCTTGATATCGATATCTTCATGATTGACACTGTTGTTGTTTTTATTCGAGAGCTTTTTTTCGGGTCGGTTATTTGAGGGTTATTTCAATACTTAATTCTAAGCTATTATTGTTGTAGTTTCTTGAAAAGGGTGTTTTTTTTTTTCTAACCACCTATGTTTTGTTATTTCATTTGCCTTCTTTTTTCCTACTAAAATTAGCCATTTAGTGTTCATCACAGTTCATAAGCTTTCTATATATATATATACACACATAAACATGAAATGTACAATTCAAATTAAATTCATTGTAAAATTCAAATTAAATTCATTGTAAAGGTCTTGAACTGATCACTACCGTCCTTACAAAATGATTGTATCAGCAACGCCGAGTTCCAATGCCGGAATTGGGAGTGGAGAGCTTGGCAGTTTTGTCCGACAAGTGGTGGCGGGGCGGTGGTTTTCTCTCTTCGCTTCGTTTCTTGTTATGGCCGGCGCCGGCGGAGTTTATTTGTTTGCTTATTACTCTAGAGACATCAAAACGACGCTCCAATGCGACCAAACGACGCTCAATAAGATTGGGTTTTACAAAGACCTGGGATCCAATGTTGGCATTGTCGCCGGCCTTCTGGCGGAGGTGGCGCCGACTTGGGTCCTTCTCCTCATCGGCGCCGCCTTAAACTTCGTCGGCTATTTCAAGATATGGCAAGGCGTCACCGGGAAAATTGTCAGCCCCACCGTCGCGTATTTTTGCTTTTACATTATGGTCGGAGCAAACTCTCAGAATTTCGCCAATACAGGTAATGCTTGTGATTCAATATTAAACAAATTAAATTAATATAAACTTTTAATTAGTTTCTTAATTAAATTATAAATATAGCGCATTATTTGATTTTTTTTTAACTTTTAAAATTAAAAAATTTTAATCCTTTTAAATGTTTTATGTCTCATAGATCTATAAATTTAAAAAAAATATATTTAAAAAATACCCTTAAAATTTTTAAAAAGTTTGAACTATTTAAAAATAAAAAAATAAATATATTTTGGAGGGAGTATAAAATTTAATGGTGTTTGTTTTTGTTGAAATGGCAACAGGCGTGCTAGTCACGTGCGTGAAGAACTTCCCGGAAAGAAGAGGGGTAATGTTGGGGCTTGCGAAGGGGTTCGTGGGTCTAAGCGGAGCAATCATGACCCAAATTTACACCGCCATTTACGGCGACGATACCAGGTCGCTAATTCTGCTACTCGGCTGGCTCCCTTCTTTAATCTCTTTGATTTTCATCTCCACCATCAGAGAAATCAAAGCCGTCAAACACCCAAACGAGTTCAGAGTCTTCGTCCACTTCCTCTGCGTCTCCGTCATTCTCGCTCTCTTTCTCGCCGCCTTGGTCTTCATCCAGAAACGAATCCGATTCGACCAATCCGCCCACGCCGCCGTCGTCGCCGCCATCGCGTCTCTGCTTCTTCTCCCCTTGTTAATCGCCATTAGAGAAGAAATCGTTCTATGGAATCTCAACAAACGGACGATCGGGATTCACCAGCCGCAAACATCCCCAAATCCTCCTTCTTCCTCCAACAAACCCTCCAGAGGCGAAGACCACACCATTCCTCAAGCCATTTTCAGCGCCGATATGCTCATCTTATGCATCACCATGCTAATCGGCGTCGGCGCTAGCTTGACCGCCATCGACAATCTCCGCCAGATCGGTGAATCCCATGGCTACCCATCCGAAACAATCAACTCATTGATCGTTCTGGTTAGTATTTTCAACTTCACCGGAAGAATCTTTTCTGGGTTTGTCTCTGACATTTTACTCGAGAAGTTCAAATTCCCAAGGCCATTAATGCTCACGCTTGTCCTCTTGGTTTCCTGCATTGGCCATCTTTTGGTAGCCTTCCCCTTCAATGATTCGCTATACATTGCATCCATTGTTATTGGGTTTTCATTGGGCGCTCAAGTCCCATTGCATTTCGCCATGATTTCTGAGCTTTTTGGGTTGAAACATTACTCCACGTTGTTTAATTTTGGGCAATTGTTTTGCCCAATTGGGTCTTATATTCTGAATGTGATGGTCACTGGGAGGCTCTATGATGAGATGGCGAAGACCACGACTGGTATAGGTGGCCTTCATTGTGAAGGCCATTCTTGTTATGAACAGTCGTTCGTAATTTTAGCTGGGTTGACGTTTTTTGTAGCGTTGGTGTCGTTGATTTTGGTGGAGAGGACGAGGGAGTTTTATAAAGGGGATATATATAAGAAGTTTAGGGAAGATATGGAGTCTTTGAAGACGAAAATGGAGTTTTATACTCTCGATGAGAAGAGGACTAGGATTGGGAATTTACTTGTTGACAAACATAGCATTAATATCAAGTCGTGATTTGGGTTAAGTTGGGTTGGATATCTAATTCTTTCAACGTGTACTCGATTTGAACTCAACGGAAGAATATGGGATGCACCAGTTTTAAATTTGGCAATCTCATTTCTCGGCATCGTAATGAAAATGTATAGCCTTATACATTATGAGACGGTGATCTCAGTCTACGATCATTGAAGTTATTTTGTGAATTAAGTTTTGTTCATATCGAGAGCTCGGTATTTTTATTATGGATTCTTCCTTTTATGAATCTCGTCTTAGTTTCTCTTCAACTTGTATATTTGGATTAGGCTAAATTAATAAAAATATTTTCAAAGTTTATACTTTCTCTCGCAAGTACACATAAATTTTCAAAAGTTTCTATGAAACATCCTTAAACTTTAGAAAAAAACCTTAAAAAAAAATACCTTTTACACCATGAAATTTTAAAAGTAGCATTAACACCATTTACATTTCTACTTAACCTAAAGTCGTTTCTGTATACATAATATAATCATTTTATACAAAAATAACTTTTTAAAACTTATCATAAAACACTGTTATTAACTTGCGTGTTCGAAAATATCTTTAAAATAACGTAACGAAATACTAAGTAAATAAACATTAAAAGTAAAAACACCATATTCTAACCTAAAGTCTAAGAAATTAAATACACACCATATTCTAACCTAAAGTCTAAGAAATTAAATACAAATATCCTATTTTTGTGTCATGGTCTCGACCTTTACGTGAAGTAGAAATAATACATAGCTTGAGTATTTTAAGGAATATAAGTGGTCCACTATTGGGGTTAGATACAAACACATACAATCATGAGTAGGTAATTGGATGTGTATTTACTATTCTACATACTCCTTACATGTGCGAGTATAGACCCATTAGTTGGTTCGCGCACCTCCTAGACCTCTTTCTTGGTCGGGCTAGCATTCTTTGGTGCTATTATTGAACACACAGTAGGAATAGTGATCATTGCAACATTATGATAAAATAATGATTGTTTTCCTGTCTCATAACGTACGCGTCCATACCATCGTAAAATGGGAGATTCCCCAATGCATGTAACATACAATGATGCATGAGGTCCCAATATTCTTATTCACTGAATCATGTATAACAACCTCTTCCATTTTCCTTTATACCATATCATTTTACCACATAGCCTTTAAGACATGTATCGGGGTTGAATGTCGTATCATTCATATCATACATCGTCTTATGTCATAACATGCACATAACATATCATATTATATCATTACACGTATCATTTCATAAAGCATGTCACAACATGTATTATATTGTCAAACGTGTTACACCACAACATATATCATATCATCAGCACATCACATCATAACACATTCATAACATTAACATATCATATCATTGTTATATCATATCGCAAAGATATCATAGTTATATTATTTTATAAACATATCATAGTTTTTAATAAACATATCTAAGTCATATAGTTTACAAACATTTCACATATATCAAGCATATGACACGTGTAGTGTCATCGTACAAACATCAACTTCTAACCATGTCGATAGTAAAACCACTTACTTGGTTGGCCTTAACCAAGGTTCTATCTAATTCCAAATCTACTTGCTTTCGTCATTTGAATTCGTTCTCATTTATGTCGAGACTTCATCTATTTTCAATAAGCACTTAATTGCTTTCGTCATTTGAATTCATTCTCATTTGTGTTTGGTAGTAAAATTTAAGTTACAAAATATGTGAACATATTATTTCAGGTTAATATACCATTTAAATATTATTTGTTAGAGCAGTTAGAACAAGATTTTGAATTGAGTTGTATTGATAAGTCTTTCGAGTTATTATTATTATTATTATTATTTTGAGTGAGAAACAATTATAACTTTAGAAATGGATACTAAAAAAATGTAATAATCAACGGAGTCGATTTTGAAACCAAATTTAGAGAGAAAAAATAGCTAAAATAAATAAATTAAAAAAAAAAAAAAAAAACCGGCACTTGGGTGAAGCCAATGTTCAACTTGTGACGCGCCGTTGGAGTGCCTTGTTCTCTTCCATTTTGGCGCTTTTGTTTCAAATTCCGGAGGCTCGTTGAATGCCTGGAGAGCGAGCGATTAGTTGAAAGCCATGGAAATGGATGGTCCGCTAGACTTCGAGTCGGAAGACCCACTTCTCAGTTCCCCTGTTTCTCTCAAGAAGAGGTTTCATTCTCTCCGAAATCAAACCCAAATCCTTTATTTCGTGTTTTCTTTTTCAAAAGTTTGACATGCGTTTCTCTTTTCATTTCTATTTTCATCTGGGTTCTCGTTTCCATACTGTTTTCCATTCAAATTTGTGTTGCAATTCCAATAGTAGCATATTTACTCTATAAAGGAAGCTAAGAAATAGCCGTTCTGCTGATTGTTCTTAGCTCTCAGAGCACCAATGGCCTTTAATGTCTATATTTTTACCAATTAGGAAAAAGATTATCGGGTTAGATGATCTTCTCACTGATCATTACAAGGATAAATGCAAACTCGTTGAGAAAGAATCTAAACAGGCAAAGAAGAAAAAGAAGTATGATTCAGATGATGAGGATTTTGGCAAAGAGGCTGTGGTGTCCCAAGTTGTTGATGAATGCCAAAATAAGGTAAATTATGCCTGGCGATGAAGAATTTTCAGCCTTCTTTCACTAATGATGGGAGAATGTTTTGTGTAGATGAATCAATTGGGAGGTGAGGAAGATACATCCATATGGGGCTTAAACGTTTTCAGAGAACAGGTTTTCGGTTCAACATTACAGCTTCTTATATGCTTTTGATTGCCTAAAATATCTTCATATGAGAGGTCTTCTTTGTGAAGCTGAGTTTCTATGCATGTAAATTGCAGAAACCCCCACCAGCATTACAAAGTCCTGAACTCAAAAATTGCTACCTTTTGCAAGCATTCCTGAATAATGAAGTTAACTCTTTGGTGAATCTCACCGTGGAGAAAGGTGTGTATTTCCTTTATGTTTGAATTCTCCTAATCTCTCCAATCATGCACTAATTTTTTTTATAGTTTTTGTTAATTGAGTTATTTTATACTAATCACTATTTTTATCTTGTATAATAAATACTAAAGTTATAGAGTTCAATTTTTGTTTCCTCCACATCTTTGTTAGATAAAAAATAGTAAACTAATTAAGGGGTTGATCATGGTTTATAAGTAAGAAATACATCTCCATTGGTAGGAGGCTTTTTGGGGAAAAACAAAAAACAAAGTCACGAGAGATTATGCTCAAAGTGGACAATATCATATCATTGTGAAGAGTTGTGGTTTCTAGCATGGTATCAGAGTCATGCCCTTAACTTAGCTATGTCAATAGAATCCTCGAATGTCGAACAAAAAAGTTGTGAGCCTCAAAGGTGTAGTCAAAACTGACTCAAGTGTCCTTTCTTCGAGGGCTCCAGAGGAGTCAAGTCTCAATTAAGGGGAGACTATTCGAGGGCTCCATAGGTCTTAGGGGAGGTTCTATGGTGTATTTTGTTCGAGGGGAGGATTGTTGAGAATTGTTGGGAGAGAAGTCCCACGTTGACTAATTAAGGGGTTGATCATGAGTTGGAATACATCTCCATTGGTATGAGGCCTTTTGGGGAAACAAAAAACAAAGCCATGAGAGGTCATGCTCAAAGAAGACAATATCATACCATTGTGGAGAGTCGTGGTTTCTAACAAGCCTAGGACTCTATTGTTGTTAGTAAATATAGCTTCAATTGGTTTGGTTGAGTAGAGTACAAATAAACATATGTATTAATTACGGCTCTTGGAGTTCCCTTTCACAACTAGTTCTGGATTTTGTCACTAAAACTTTGTGCTAAGATAATATTTTTTTAAAGATAAGTGCTGGATTCCTATGTCCAGGAGCAATTTATAAGAGGTGGAAATTTATGGTTGTTTGTTGAATTTTCCTTTCCCTTCTTCAGATGGTATCATACTATTTCAGGTAATGGGGACTCTGTTTGGTTCCTTAAAAGCTCTCTGGTACATTTACTCTGAAAGTTAATGCAATAAAGGACTTGAGGGCCTGATGTGGAGGTTCAGAAGTCCATTTCTTTGCATGAGAGTGTGCATCCTTTGAGAGAAGGCAAGCGAAGACTTGCACCGGATTATGGTGCTCTGTTGTAACAGCCCAAACCCACCGCTAATAGATATAGTCCTCTTTGGGTTTTTCTTTTTAGGCTTTCCTTCAAAGTTTTTAAAACGCGTCTGCTAGGGAGAGGTTTCCGCTCCCTTATAAAAAATGTTTCGTTCTCTTCTCCAACCGATGTGGGATCTCACAATCTATTCCCCTTCGGGGCCCAACATCCTTGCTGGTACCCGTTCTCTTCTCCAATCAATGTGGGACCGCCCAATCCAACTCCCTTCAAGGTCCAGCGTCCTTGTTGGCACACTGCCTCATGTCCACCCTCCCTTCGGAGCTTAGCCACCTCGCTGGCACATTCCCCAATGTCTGCCTCTGATACCATTGGTAACAGCTCAAGCCCACTGCTAGCAGATATTGTTCTCTTTGGGCTTTTCCTTTTGGGCTTCCCATCAAGGTTTTTAAAACACGTCTGCTAGGGAGAGATTTCTACGCCCTTATAAAGATTCTCACGGGAGCCCGTACTTTTGGTTGAAAGAAATTTCGAATGATCTTTGGCCCTTCGTTTTTTGTCTTGAAAGAACAGGAAAAAATGATATAGAAGTCCCACCTTATGGGTGGTGGGTTGTAGAAAAAGTCGAGGAAATAGAGTAATTGTCTTGCAGTTCTGCTTTTTATTAACACTCATCTATAATTTATCCAATACTTTGTAATGCTCCTTAGTTATATACATTCTTATAGAATTTCATTCATTTTCATACAAAATAGAAGAAAAGAAAGGAAAACCATGATGTTTCTTAAACTCTAAGCCTATAAAAAACTAATTAAATAAGTTACTGATAATAGTTATTTGATATGTTCTTACAGGTGAAGCTTTCCTTGAAGGTTTACTGGTAAATGGTTGGCTTTCAACGCTCGTTTCTGTGACGAATCGTGTAGAAAAACCTCTTGCCATATGGACTTTCAATTTAAGTGAGTTCATCTATTGTTTCAGTCATGTTTATGGAACTCCAAACAGTATCATTAATTCTTTTTTATATGTTTATTTTGATATTTCAGTGTTATATTCATCAAGAGAAGAACTAAGTACATCTGCTTGTGATTTCTGGAGGGATATCATGTTAACAACAAATAAGGTCTCTCTTTTTCCTTTGACCACATGGTTTTTATTTATTTATTTTCGTTTATCAATTTCGAGGCTTATCTATAGTTCTTAACTAGGTAAATCAACAGCATCTCCGAATCGAGTGGTTTCCAACCTATGCTCAGTTAGGAGAAGCTCTTGAGACTTATGGATATAGATTTGAATGCTCATTGAAACCTGGATTTGTTCACAATGGTAAACTTCTTTTACACCAAACTTCATATCCAAGGGAAAAAAATATTAAACATTATGAAGGGTTGTTTGTTTTCGCTCCGAGTTTTCGTATTTGTTCCGTAAAAACTCAAGATTGCTAGTAATGCTTTAGAAAAATATTTAGAACTTGGAATGACCAATCTTTTTGGTAATGGTCATAATGTGTTTTTGGGTTGCTGATTGCTGCATTGATAATATGTTTGAATTTACTGTATGATCTTTTTTTCATTTGTACCACTTGAGATAAAAGAGATTGTAACAAAACACCCAAAATCAACCAGACCGAATTACTCGAACTAACCTCAAAGTTAACCAGGTTAAAAGAATTCAAACTCTACATGGCCTGTTACGGATCGCCGTAAGTCTCACGATTTTAAAACGTGTCTGTTAGGGAGAGGTTTCCACAATCTAATAAAGAATGTTTTATTCCCTTCTCCAACCAACGTGGGATCTCACAGTCCACCCTCCTTGGGGGCCAGCATCCTCGCTGGCGCACCGCCCGATGTCTTGTTCTAATACCATTTGTAACAACCCAAGCCCACTGCTAACAGATATTGTCCACTTTGGTCCGTTACATATCATCATCAACCTCATGGTATTAAAATGCATATACTAGGGAGAGGTTTCCACACTATTATAAAGAAACAACCTCATGCTAAAGTAGTTTTCAAAAACTTGTTTTTCTTTTAGAATTTTAGAAATACAAGTTCTCTTTAAGAATGGTTAAAACCATAATTGAGAAACTTAAAACGAAACCGTTATCAAACAGGGACATAAGGACTGTACTTTTTAGAACATGTTCTTCCATACATTTGGTACTCTTTGTCTTAACTTCTTTTCCATGTGTGTATGAGTTGCTATATTTTGGGATTGTCATATAAAGGCATACTTCAAAAGTCATGTAGGAACCCCTCAAGCCTTTGCCATTTGTGTTATAGTTTCCTTAGTCTTCCTTACACAAGTTATGGACTATTGTTAGGCTCTGGACGTGGAGGGCCACCGCAGAATATAAGGGCTTGGATCAAATTTGTTACTGTTTGTTGTCAAACCAAGTAAGTCAGTATTTTTTTGGAAAAGTTTGCGAGTTTTAACTCGTGCCTTTGGCGTTCATTGAAATTTTGAATCTTGTAACATAATGTGGCTATTGTTCCATGAATGTATCTGTTTTTTTTTTCAGGATGAAAAAGTATATATTTACATCCTCTGAAGTCGAGCGGCTAGCTGAAGCCATTCTTTGTTTATTTCTAGACCGCCAGTTTCGAGGGGTAACCGTGCTCTTGTGTGAATGCCTGCAATCGCTCGTCCATTACTTCACGGATGAAGATTGGAAGGCATGTTGTGACAATATAGCCAAAGCTCTTGTCTCCAGGTATTAGACTCGTCCTTCGTTATACAAATTAAAGGTGTATGGCGATCTGTTTGGACATGTATGGTTAAGAAAAAATTGAAAGTGGCATCGAAACCAATTATTCAAAAACGGACCAAAACTAACAAAATCTATGTCATCCAAGTCAATTGAGCGTGTGAGATCCCACATCGGTTGGAGAGGAGAACGAAACATTCCTTATAAGGGTGTGGAAACCTCTCCCTAGCATACGCATTTTAAAAATCTTGAGGGGAAGCTCAGAGGGGAAAGCCCAAAGAGGACAATACCTTCTAGCAGTGGGCTTAGCTGTTACAAATAGTATCAGAGCCAGATACCGGACGATGTGCCAGCAAGGAGGCTGAGCCCCGAAGGGGGGTCGACACGAAGCTATGTGCCAGTAAGGATGGGGCCTCGAAGGGGGGGTGGATTAGGGGGTCCCACGTCGATTGGAGAAGGAAACGAGTGCCAACGAGGACGCTGGGCCCCGAAGGAGGGTGGACTGTGAGATCGCACAACAGTTGGAGATGAGAACGAAACATTTCTTATAAGGGTGTGGAAACCTCTCCCTAGCAGATGCGTTTTAAAAACCTTGAGGGGAAAGCCAAAGAGGTCAATATCTGCTAGCAGTAGGCTTGAACTGTTACAAAGTGTTTTTTGGTTTTACACTTTAGAAAACTGAACCGTTTGACATGTATCCTTCAAAGAGACCGTGTGACTCGGTTCGGTTAGTTTTGGTCAGTTTTTCAGTTTTGGCCCTGCACCCCTGATGCAAATGTGAACTACAACCTTATCATAACTACTCTTTTTGCTGCCTCTGTTCTGGTTTTGCAGAATTCCAATGGATCTAAACTGTTTGCGAGCTGTGGAATGCATTTCTGGAGTTGATCAGCGCAGTAAATATCTGAGGAGTACAGTTGCCTATCAAATTCTTCTTATTTTCTTTGAAAATGAGGTGATCCTTTTTCTGAAAATTAGCATGTTCAAGTTATGATAGCCATCTACCTAAGATTTAATATCGTTAAGTTTTTAGCAACCACATTGATACAAAGTAAGGTGTTTTAATGATGTCACAAACACTTCATGGTGGACGACAAGGTTGAACCATACATGTTTGGTTTAGGGAGATTTCATTCTATTTTTCAATTTTAGAGTATTATTTTTAAGGTTTTAAGTCATTATGGTTTGACGGGTACGAGAGTTACAACCTTTCAATCGACCATAGGTTACTTAAGGTTTATTTTAAACTATAAATAACCATTCATGTTGGCTTTAGTAGGAGGATTTTTGGATATTAAAATGAAAGTTGCATATTATGCTTCTTAAGCCATGAGTTTGTTCCTTAGAAATGCATGCTAGAGTCATTCAAGTAGTGTTGATCAAACCTCTTGTGAAGTGATTCGAATCACGAGTTTTCTTTACTCTTGATCTTTATCTTAATCATCAAGATTGTAAGATCCCATATCGGTTGGAGAGAGGAACAAAGCATTTTTTATAAGGGTGTGGAAACCTCTCCCTAGTAGATGTTTTGTAAAAACTTTGAGGGAAAATCCGAAGGGGAAAGCCCAAAGAGGACAATATTTGCTAGCGGTGGGCTATTACAAATGGTATCAGAGTTAGACACTAGATGATGTACCAACGAGGAGGTTGAGCCTCGAAGGGGGTGGACACGAGGCGGTGTGCCAGCAATGACGTTGGGTCCCGAAGGGGGTGGATTGGGGGGTCCCACATCGATTGAAGAAGGGAACAAGTGCCAGCGAAGACGCTAGGCCCCAAAGGGGGTGGATTGTGAGATCCCACATCGGTTGGAGAGGGGAACAAAACATTCTTTATAAGGGTGTGGAAACCTCTCCCTAGTAGATGCGTTTTAAAAATCTTAAGGGAAAGCCCAAATAAGACCATATCTGCTAGCGGTGTGCTTGGTTTGTTACAAAGATAATTCGTTCCAAAACTTTTCCTTAGGTTGATTCCATATCATTTTGGAGGTTCTTAAATTATCTAAAGATCTTGTTCTTCAACAAGGTTATTAGATCAATTCTCCAGAGTTCGAGATGTGCATAAGTATAGCTCGAATACTCGCGAATATAAAACGAAAATAGTGAGAATCTGCAACCATTTAATCAACCTTTAACTTACTATATTTGGTTTTAAAGTTGAAGGCTAAAACTGGTTGTTATGATTTAAACAGGGTACTAATGAAGAAGAGGTTTTGAGAGTACTTACCTCCATGACTGTGAAAGACAGAAGTTGTGACCTATTTAAGCTGTATATTTACTTGGTGTTGACGGAGAACTGGCTCGTCGGTAGTCGAATGTTAGACGGGAAGCCGTTAATATGCGAAATGTGGGGTTTGTTTCTCAGAAAATGCTCGTGCCAAATCGCGAGTACGGATTTGAGGTCGTATGCATCAAAGGTGTGGAAAACTCTCACAATCTTGACTTGAAATGAATGAAGGATTGATTGTTAACAACTCTTTGCACTTTCAGGTTCGTAACAAAGCTTCATATATCTTGCAAAGCTGTTTTGAGGAATAGAGTTTGATGGGTAGGTGTTCTGAGTATCATCTCTGGCTCTGCTTTTGCTTGCTGACTGACATGAACTGCTAAGAACTTATGAACAGGTCCAATTAGTTTAGATTGTACAGCCTACAGAATGCTCTTTTTGTCCCTTTTTCCACTTAAAATATCCACTTCATTAAGTTGCTGAGTGGCGAACGGGTGTATAACGCGTGGGAATCTGCGAAACAGTTCGGGCCAAATCTTGAATCAAGTTAAAAAAAAAATGTTGTTTGATGAGCCTGCGTAATATTAGGTTGTTGGTCAGGTAAAAGCTGAGCCTGCGTAGTATTAGGTCGTTGGTCAGGTAAAAGCTGACCTAGCCAATGATTCTTAGCTGTTCTTTTCGAATGATCAGCCACATTGGGACTAAGACACGCCCCAAACTCCTCCACGATCTTTTTGAGAACAAAGAGAAAATGGTCTTAGCATGGGTACTAGTAACTAGCTTGGTTGCAACCTCGGGTTGTATCCACGATCTTTTTGTTATAGGGAGTGTTAATTTTTTTGTCCGGTAGGAACTTAACTTTTAATTTTGTATCGAAAAATGTTAATAGGTATTAGATGCAAAATTGAAAATTTAAGTATTTCGTGACGTTCAAGTAAAAGAGAATTACATAAATGAACAAACATTATGCGCAACTTTAAGTATTTTTCTTTTTTTTTTTTTTTTTTTTTTGAATAATTATAGATTGATTTGTGTAATATATTTTATTTAAGATTGAATCCAAATAATTATAAATGGTATATTAATAAAACTTAAAAAAATTAACAACTCAACCTGAGAATAGAGGTTGGGTTGTGGCAAGTTTTGGTTTGGATTGGAAATTATCCACGAGTTTGAATGTATATTTTAAAGATAATAATAAATTTCACGTTCTTTTTCATTTGAACTCAATCTAATTTTGATTGGATAGGATTAATCGAATTTTTCATATTATCAAATTTTTAAACGTTCATGAGTCATGTTAGTAGCTTTTGTGTGGTTGAATGTTGAAGCATAGGATAGAAATCAAATGGTTGAATAATTGAGCTTAAGGTGTAAATTTAAGATACATATCAAAGATGAGATGAAAATTTAAATTTATCCCAAATTGTATGAAATATGATACATTGTCTGCGTCTGTGGACATCCTTACCTGTTCGCTCTACAGATAAGATTGCAGCAGCAACAATATAAAAGAAGAAACAACTGCGAAGTGGGTGGGAGGCGTTTCATTGCCTGAAAATTCGAAATGGCTTCTCTAACAACCGCTCTCTCATGGAGATCTTCCGTGGGTCTTCCAAATTTCGGTGCAAACTTCGACGAAACCGCCAAGTTCTCTCATGGAAGAACCGCCCTGGTGGTTGTCGCCCAAAAGAAAGCCACGAAGTCGCGAAAGGTAATGGTCGAAATAGCTTTTCAAATTCCTCCCCAATGCCATGGCTGCTTTCGTTTCTCTTTCGTTCTCTCTGTTGGTTGTGAGTGGCTGTAATCGTAATTTGGTTCTGTTGTGTGTGGATTGGGGCAGATTATTCTGAAGGAGGATGTGCCGGAGCTGGGGAAGAAAGGGCAACTTATTGACGTGAAGGCTGGGTATTATAGAAACTATCTGTTTCCTATGGGGAAGGCACAGATTGTCACTCCAGTTTTGCTCAAGTAATGTGTTACATAATCCCTTTAATTTATAGATTTCTGTTCTTGAAGTCATACTAGTGCAAATGAATTTACTGAGTTTCAAAAGGGATTTTCGAACTGTTCTGTAATTTCAATGTTTCAACTGCTATAGGGTCGATTAAATGTTTGGTAATCAGGAGGGGTTGGTGAGTGGTTGTTGATTGAATGTTTTGAACTAAATTTGTGTAGCTGCTGAATGGTGCGAGTCTAGTAGCTTCATTGTTGTCAATGGAGTGTGTAACTAAATTATAACTATCGAGGACGAAGTATCAAATGGTCCTTATCTAGCATACACCTTTTGAAAACCTTAAGGGAAGCCCGAAAGAGAAGGCTGAAAGAGGACAACTCTACGAAACTATATGCTGCACAAACTCTACGAAACCCTTGCCTTACCCTCTAAGCTCCAACCTGAGAGGGCTTCAAGCTCATCCAATATCCATCCACTCTCCACAAAGAAAAATAATAATGAAGAGAATGTAACAACCCAAGCTCATCGCTAGCAGATATTATCCTCTTTGGGCTTCCCCTCAAGGTTTTTAAAACGCGTTTGCTAGGGAGAAGTTTGATTTCCACACCCTTAATCTCACAGAGAATGTGATCTTGAGTATCATTCACCCTATAACAAAAGCAGTTGGTCGAGCAGGGCAACGTTTAGGGATTTTCCTTTGAAGCTTAGCTTGAGTATCCATGAATTAGGAGACTAAATCTCTAAACCCTTTTCTAATTACAGAAAGCTACTTACCTCATTTTGCAGTAAACTTCTATATGATAGAGACCCACAAAAAACAGTTCAACCTTTTTAGGATATTTGAACTTCCAAATCAGATCTTCCAAGGTAACCCTCAAGAAGGTAGATCTACTTGTAAGGCTGGTAAAGATAGATTTAGTGGTAAAATTGCCCAATGGCTCTAGGCAGGGACCATACGGCCTTGTCGTTTTCACAGTCGTACTATACTGCTTGAGCTTCGAACGGATGGTATGAAATGAAAATTCTTTTGAAGATCATCTTTGCTACATATCAGATAGCTGATATGCTTATGGAGACCCCAGGATCCATTGTCTTATTCATTGTCTTATTTTTGCCTGAAACTAATTATGGATTAGTAATGTTGTTTAATGCACATTCATTGAATTTGATGGGATTGGTCTTTATTTCTCTCAGGGAAATGCGGATTGAAGAGGAACGAATCGAAGCTGAGAAAAAACGAGTAAACAAATCCGTTCCTTTTGTTTCTTGATCGGACATTTCGAGATAGTTTTTGTTATTAGAATCAACGAGGATTAAAAGAACGAGACACTTCCTCTATAACAATTTTTGGAACGACCAATAAAGTGCTTTCTATGAACATGTTTTACTACTATCTTTACTACTATCCATACATTCCAAACGAGCGCGTGCTCGATGCTCATGCTTATTTATTGAAAATTTGACTGGCCATTGGATTCATTCTATACCCATATGCTATAAGGAACAAGAGATATTGTGTTTTCTTGACTGTTTCTACCTTTTCTATGGGGATTTATTCAAATGGTAATGAACTTGTCAGGTAATGGAGGAGGCTCAGCAACTCGCTCTGATTTTCGAAACTGTTGGAGCTTTCAAGGTGAAGCGAAAAGGTGGAAAAGGAAAACAGATATTCGGAACGTGAGTCGGGTTTTAGCTGTATTATGAGGCGGTTTTTCTTTTTATTATGCCTACTCAAATGCACTTGTTTTTGCAGAGTCACGGCACAGGATCTTGTTGATATCATCAAGGCACAACTTCAAAGGTACTTTATCTATTTAACCTCTATTTACTTTTATTCATCGGAAATGTAATAGCCTAAGCCCACCACTAGTAGATATTGTTCTCTTTGAGATTTTCCTTTCGGGTTTTTTAAAACGTGTATGCTAGGGAGAGGTTTCCACACCCTTATAAAGAATGTTTCGTTCTCCTCTCCAATCGCCCACCTCTTTCGAGGTCTAGCGTCCTCACTGACACTCGTTCCCTTCTCCAATCGATGCGGGACCCCCCCTATCTACCTCCTTCGGGGGACTACCGTCCTTGTTAGCACACCGCCTCATGTCCACCCTCCTTCAGGGCCCAACCTCCTCGCTGGCACATCGTCCGGTGTTTGACTCTGATATCATTTGTCACAACCCAACCCCACCGCTAGCAGATATTGTCCTCTTTCGGCTTTTCCTTTCGGGATTCCCCTCAAGGTTTTTAAAACGCGTCTATTAGGGAGAGGTTTCCACTGTTATAAAGAATGTTTCGTTCTCCTCTCCAACCGATGTGGGATCTCACAGTTTGACCATGGACTTCCTAACCATCCAAAGAGGGGTGGAAACCCGAGGATGGTGAGACGGAGGCCACGAAATGCAACCTCACAGCCAAAAGATTATGCAAGCGAAGAAACATATGGCAAAGGGGCTTGTTGCCCACCAACAATCCTTTCAAAATAAGTATCCAAGCCATCCCCAACAGAACATTTCACAAACTAAGCAAAGAAGAGGAAATTAATCTATCTATCAAATGCACTTTTCATTTCTAAGATGGCTGGACCGTGACAATTGCTGAAATAGCTGAGGCGTTTCGTGGTAGTCACATTCGAGACACCATAGAATCAAAGCTCGATCTTTTCAAACTAAAAGTTTTGAGAATATATCCACACCGTATCTCGAACTCCTCAACTAATTCATGAAGTTTTCCCTCTGATTTAAGTATTGAATTATGTGCAGGGATATCGACAAGCGAATCGTTGTTCTTCCAGAGATCAGGGAAACAGGAGAATATGTTGCAGAGCTGAAGCTTCACCCTGAAGTTACTGCACGAGTTAGAGTGAATGTATTTGCCAACTGAAATTATTTCCAGATTTTACAAGTTCATGTAGCAGCCACAATTTTTTGAAGGGTAAATGATCATATCGTTTTGCAGTTCATCATTTCAATCATATTCTCATAAACTGTTCAATTATGGTGGTCTTTTTAAGAGGACATTTGAGATTTCGGGTGGTTTCCCATCTAATATAACGGCCTATGTCTAGAATTCACCAACTGATGGCTTCGAAATCTTCTTACGTCTCTTTTGATGCAGTCACGCTATCTATTTCTTTTGTATTTCTTCTAAGATGAAAGACTATTCTTACAAATTAACTCACGTTCTTTTAGCATGAATTTTGAAGTTTTCATTCATATGATTCACACTTTATTAGGGATAACAATCCTTCCCGCATTTCCATAATGGTATAAATGTTCACTTTGATCATAAGTGTCACAATTGCACTCTTGTGGCAACGGAACAGGATTGTGCAGCACTTGTTCTAACTCAGCGAATAAGTTAGTCGTGAGAAATTTGGACTATGTGGACAATGACGGCGTATGCTCGAGTCTCGAGTCACGGTTGAGATAAGTGTTTTAGGAAAATGTGAGCGAGGAAATATGTTGAAAACTTTTGGAAGAAAACAATGTTATAAGCTAAAAACGATTAGACAACAACGACATTAA